GACGTGAAGTCCCCTTTGCTCCCACTTTCCCAGGCCCAGTCCAGATTCGCAGCATAAACGCTGACGCCTGGTGTGGCCTTCCCCTGGGCGGGGCTGTGCTATTGCTCGGCCAGTTTTTCTCCTGCTCTTGCATTTGCAACCTCCTCCTCGAGGTTCCTGTGCCGCAGCCCTTCAGCGTGGGCTCGGGCTGTTTTTCTGAAAAACGCTGGGGGGGGTGTTTTTGTGTTTCTTGGAGGCGCGATTGCCCTGGACCTGGAGGCCTGAACAGGAAATGCCACATAAAAACAAAAGCAAGAGCTGTTTCCAACAAGCTGAAAATCACTCCTGATTTTGCGTATTTTTCTTAAAAAGCAGAGAGCACAGTCCTGCCGTTTTGGTCTCCGGGCTGCGATTAGGATGCCGCCCGGGTGCCGAGGACGGGGCTCCCTCTCCTGGGTTGAGACGAACTGGGTCAGGCCGAGGACACCTGGAGTTCACGGTGGCACCTGCTGCTTGGGGCCATCAGCTGCTCAGGCCGCGTCAACCCTTCAGCTCCCACACCGGGCGGCCGGCTGTCCTGTCCCCCTGTGTCTGCTCCGTCAGCCATGAAGGGCAGCCTGTTCTGGCTGGAGTGGGGAGAATGTTCTGGCTGGAGCGGCTCCTCCATCCGGGCTGAACCTTAGAATCACAAAGGGGGCTTTCTAAAATCCAGGCCAGGCCGCACCCCAGAGTCTTGGGGGCATCAGTATTCTGAACAGCGGTCTCAAGGAAACCAGCCACTGGCCCCCACGCCCAGGCGCTCTGCTCTGATTGGCTGGGCTGGGCTGGGCTAATTTGCATTTCCAACACGCTCCCAGCCAGCCGGTCCCTCCCTCCCTTGGGGCTGCAAGTCCTGCTGCGTCCCAGGGCGTCCCGTCTTCCCTGTGCAGGTGAGAGGGCGTCCATGTGCACCCCGCTGCCTGGGAAGAAATAACCGTTTCTTACTGTGTGAGTGCCTGTGACCGTGAGCAGGTTTTACAAGGAGTAACTTGATGAGCGGGCAGGGCCCCCTGTGCTCTCTGGGGTCTGAGTGTGAAACGCAGGCAGCTACTGGGAGATGGGGCGTGGCAGCTAGAAACCCACCTGGAGCACCCAGGGTGCCGCTCCCCACCCCCACCCCCCGAATCCCAGAACCCTGGGCTTGCTTCAAGGAAGCCTGGTGGGCCCTTGCTTGGCCGGACTAGTGGTCCCTTCGCCAAGGCACTGCTTCGTTGCGGAGACAGTTCAAGGCCAAAGTAGCAGCTGAGTCCCACCGCGCGCTCAGGAGGCTCGGCTCTGTCCTTTCGGGCACATTCTTGATGCTCCTGCACAGACAGGAGCGTCGGTGTGTTTCTTTGTGACAGAACATACTCGGCGTACCGCTCGGCATCGGGCACACACGTCCGTACAGACCGTGTGTGTGCATACACGTCTGTGTGTTAACCCCATCGGGTACACACGTCGCACAGACAGGAGCGTCGGTGTGTTTCTTTGTGACAGAACATACTCGGCGTACCGCTTGGCATCGGGTACACACGTCCGTACAGACCGTGTGTGTGCATACACGTCTGTGTGTTAACCCCATCGGGCACACACGTCCGTACAGACCGTGTGTGTGCATACACGTCTGTGTGTTAACCCCATCGGGCACGGCCACGGGGAAGGCGGCCCTCGCGGTCACAGGGAACAGGTGTGACGGCCGCGTCTCTGGGGGAGCTCTTACTTGGGGGCACTCTAACCAGCACGACCTGCATTCGGCTGTTGGTTGCAGGCCAGGTGCAGAGCAGGAAGTGCATAGAGGACGTGATCCGCTTCGCGTGGGAGGAGAAGCTCTTCCTCCTGGCGGACGAGGTACGGCGCTGCCCCGTGGGGTCCCACTCTCCTGGGGCATAGGTGTGAGGGGCCGCGGCGCGGGGGGTCCCGCTCTCCTGGGGCGCAGGTGTGAGGGGCCACGGTGTGAGGTGGGGGGTCCCGCTCTCCTGGGGCGC